GGGGTGTATCCCCACCAAGGAACATTATAGGACCCATAGCTCCCATCCAGGGATGAGATGGCCAGGAAGCACCGCTCAGTGACAAAAGCCAGGCCAAAAATCATCCGAAGCCAAGGCGACCATTTGTGTGAAAACATTGGGTGTCCCAGAAGGACCCGTATTTATTTGCACACACCCAAGGGAAGCCGGAGACAGAGACAATGAGCTGAAATGTGCTAGTGGACCAAGGAAGGCTGGACTTTCACTCGGTGTCTTAGAACCTCAAGAACAAGTAGACTATTTGATAATTAGATGAAGATCAACTGGAAGGGAATCCAGTGCTGGACATGCCCTGTGGTCCCTGCCTGAATGTCTGCCTACTGGGCTTACGGTGCTTTGTAGCCAGCATTGGACAAAGCCAAATCCAGCTTCTCTCTCTCCCTCAATAATTGCTGTTATGTCAGGAGCAAGTTAATGAATTAAGAGCAGGCAGGAAGTGCGGTGGGCAAGGATGAGGTGGTTTAAGAGTGGTGGGGATGGGAGAGGAGTTCACCCTGGAGTCCACGCGTGCCAGGCTACAGCCGCTAATGCGGACACGAGACTTGGGAGCAAGCTGTCTTTGACACAAACTCTGTTTTCAAAGTTCATCTAAAAAATATTCTAGGGGCTGGCTATATGACTTAGTACCTCTGACTGTGGTGCCAGCATTCCACGTGGGTGCCAGTTTGAGTCCCAGCTGCTTTATTTCCAATCCAGCTTATGGCCTGGAAAATGAACAGATGTTGGCCCGATTCTTAAGGCCCTGTGCCCATATGGGAGCCTTGCACGAAGCTCATGGCTTTGTATCAGCGCAACCTTGGCTATCACAGGAGTGAACCAGTGAGTGCAAGATCTCCCTGTCTCTACTTTTCTCGGTAAATCTGCCTTTCAACTAATAAGTAAATAAATCATAAAAAGTGGTTTGAAATCTTCCAGTAAGAAACATGTACACAGAACTTAGTCTTGTGTGAAAATTGTCTCAAATGCAGTTAGAAAACCAGCAAGTGTCCAAAAATGGCTAGCAACACTGAATGGCGAAGTTGAGATAAACCTGCCGTGGAAGCACTGTGGGCTTTTCCTTAGGTGGCTGGAAGCTGCTGTGGTCATGCAGGTTTAGTTTCATCCCCTCAATTACTACAGAAAGCCAGATTCAGTGTTCTCATGGACTGGTTTCATGACGAGCGTTAATCAGAAAACATAAGGATTGCAAAAGGGCATCTGCGGCTCCCTGGGACTAGATTAAAACTCAGCGACCCAGAGGCGCACCTGGAGCTGCGGTTAGGGCTCTGCACGTGAGTCCTGGCTCCACTTCCAACTGCAGCCTGCTGGTAATGTGCGCCCTGGGAACCAGCAGGCGCTAGCTCGAGTAGTTGGGTCCTTGTGGCCCACACGGGAGACTCGTTGAATCTGACTCCCAGCTTTGTCCTGACTTAGGCCCAGGTGTTGAGGGCATTTGGGCAGGGAACTAGCAGACAGATCTTTGCACCTGCTTTTCACTAAGTGAGTAAGACAAAGAAGCAAACTTAAATTCCTCAATTCCATGAGACTCAGAAGCTGTGAAAGCCCCTGTTCTGTGGTGTGAAGGGGACAGATGTGCTATGAGTGACATTTACTGGAAACATGCAACTTTGCTTCTCATGGATTGTTCTGGAGCATCTAGAATATCTCAGGCAAAGTCACGGGCTCTAATAGCAGGGGTTTTAGAAACTCAGTCTTCTAAAGATGCGCCACAGTCATACAATAAGAACAAGCACTGACAAACAGACGTTATATTTAGCCAAAAAAGAAATCCCCCCAAAACCCAAGTCTGCCCTGCATTAAAAACACCTTGCAGGGTTTTTCTGCATGACCCTAGCAGTGGCAGCCCTGTGGTGGTGCGCTCCATGGCCAAGAGCACCGCATGCTTCCTGGGGCCCAGCCCTGGGTAGGTGAAGCCACGGAGGCTGTCGGTCCTGATGGTGCTTGTGGGGAAGGCAGCCAAAGCACTATTTCCCATTTTTCACTCTCAGGTCACAACACAGCAGTTAAACCACCAGGTGGACCAAATTAGAGATGAATTGAAGTTCCTCTTTCACATCAGTGGAAATGAGAAGTCACGCCATTGATGCCTGAGCTCCTTCCATAAGCAATCTGGGCCTCACGGGCTGGGACAGGGTCTCTGGGTCTCCGAGGCAGGCTCCGAACCCCTGCCCCCAGGCACACACCTTCAGCACGCCCATAGAAGCATAGATTCTGTGAGTGGGTGAGTTAGTCTGTGAGTGGTGCCCTGCTGAGTGAGTGGTGGCGGGGACAGAACACCCTGCTTCAGCACACATCTTGCATTGCAGGAAACTGCCCTGGCACTGGAGCAGTTCTCAGACCTTCCTTATCCCCAGAGAAAGGAGATGTCCTTATCCCTGAAGACAGAAAACTCCGCACAAGTGGGTTTAGATCATTGCCATCTGGTCACACATCTTTGTCTAACCACCTTTCTGCACCTGCCTGCTTTTCATCAAACTTAGCAGCCAAATGGGCAGTTCTGGGGCTGGTGCCGCAGCCTGAGACACTGACATGCCCTATCTGGAGCTCAGTTTTGTGTCTTGGCTGGTCTGCTCCTGACCCAGCTCCCAGATTCCGTTCCTGGAAAACCATCTAAGAACGACCTAACCCCGGCTCTTGGTCATTTGGGGACCGACACAGCAGCTGAAAGCTCATTCCCTGTTTGTCACTCTGCCTTTTAAACAAACACATGCACCTTTGGTAAATGTGCCAGCTTCCCTGCTTCTTTGGGTTTTCATTTGCAAAGATTTCCATAACACAAAACTTATTCATCATTGCAACGCTTTCTTCTGGCTTGTTTCGCACAGAGGCTCAGCCACAGCCCTTCGCAGTGGGTGAGCAATGATGACTGTTTCAAGAATAAATCTCAAGTTCAAGATGCCAGACATGCTCAGCTTGGTGACTACTGCGGTTTACTTTGGAGGTGGCTTAACTGTGTCTCCCCCCAAAAGGTCACCAGTTGTTAAGCTTGAGCGTGTGAAGGGCTTGAGGTGATGAGGCCTTCGGAATGGAAGCGTGTAGAAAGTGGCGTAAAACAGCAAGTCCAGCTCCTAAACATCCCTCTCAGAGCCAAGCTCACACTAACGCTAACCCCTGCACATTCAGAGCTGCTGTACTGAGTGCCCAACTTTGGCCTGACACCCAAGATCCCCTCCAGCCGTGGGGCCTGACCATTAAAAGTGGGCCTCTGCTTGGCTAGGTTCTCATCCCGACTCTGCACTGGTCACACAACCCCAGGGGCCCCACAGGCCTCCCCATAGTGCAAGTACCTCGACAGGGTGTTTCACTTTGTGTAGTGAAGCCAGTGCTTGGTATTCATCACCTTCCAGGCTGGGCTGCCCTTCTGCAAAATGTGTCTTAAGAAGCCAAAGTGCTCTGTCTTGAGCTGAGGTCGCCAGCAGCCTTAGACACCTGCTAGAGATGTACTTCTGGGACACTTCCCCCACTCCATCCCACCCAGGCCTGCTGAATCACACAGGAGCAGGGAGGGCAGTGCTGCTTCTGCAAGACCCTGTGACAGGTGCTGACACAGGTTAAGGACCTGCCGCTCTACCTGGAAAACTTACTGCCAGCCTTTCCTGGCCATATTCCAGCAAACATGGAATACTGGGGGAAAGATGCTGGTGGGGTTGGCCCCGGGCCATTTTCTGGCTGGCACCTTTAAGCCTCACTCAGATCATGGCTGTAGGGGTGGTCCCTCCTCCAGCCTGGTTGGTTATTGTGAAGATGAATTTAGGTAGCCACAGGGTGTGGTCTCCCTCCCCACCCCCTAGCCTTGTTCTAGGGCCCTGGAAAGCACCAGGATCCAGGTTCAAGTATTTCAGGGGACCTTGGGACTGTAAGAAGGGATGTGTACCAAGTTCAAAGTCAGCTTCACATCCGTAGTGAGTTCACACTGGCAGTCTTCGCAAGGTGAAGCAAGGGAACACATTTCCATCATTTTCTCTGTCACTTGGGCGCCCAGATGAGCAGGGAGTCACGTGGATGCCCAGTGAACCTCCTGAATACACCTCAGTTCCCGGGCGATGTCTTGGCGTCGCCCAGGACGGCCTCGTGGCCCCACAACCCGCCAGAGACAACTGAAAGTTTTCTTTCACTTTATTGGCCGTGCCAGCTGTGGGGTTTACAAACGGGATGGAGGAACGGCACAGGGTACTGACAGCGCACCTGTGGGGCTTGTGTCCAGGGCTCTGAAATGAACGGACCTCACTTTCATGTGGTGCTGAGACAAACAAGCATCCCAACACGGACAGTGTAAACAGTTAAATTACTCAGTCATTATTATAGAGCAAAACATTTCCGTGAAAAATGGCATACAAAGGAAAACAACATATAAATTACATCTCAGGTCTGTACATGATTCTTAAAAAAAAAAAAAATAACAACAGTGTGTTCTATACAATATTGTTTCCTCTAAACCCAATAAACACTTTTCCCTTGATTTCCAGCAAAACGGGCAAAACACAGACGTAGCATAATTAAAACCCTTTCACAAAAATACAAAACGGTGTCAGTTTCTTTAAAGGCACATTGTCTTCATTCGGGGATGGCTCCTTTCTCTCTCGGGAGCCCAGCAGGTGGCAGTGTCCTGTTCCCGATCATCTTTGGCAGCTGAGGGGAGACTACTGTGGGCAAGGAGGCAGGCAGCAGAGAGAAGGCAGCAGTTTGGATGCTGAAACTCAGAGGGCCAGGCACCTGCTGGCTGCTCCCAGCAGGCCCATTGGCCCGTCTCAGAATATTCCATCCATACACAATATGGAACGAAGACGCCACTCATCTTCTTGCAAAGCACTTGCTGCTCAGACCCAAGAAACTGCCAGGTTCAACACAAGTGGTGGTGGCGTGGACGAGTACCACGTAGCCTGCTTCCTAAGAGGTCCGATGCCGGCCCCTGGCCTAGCGTAGGCATGACCGGCTGATTGAAACGGTCTCCAAACAGACAAGGACGGCCACAGCAGCTCAGAGGGGACAGGAAAGGACGGGCGCAGTTCACACCATCCAGCCTGCACGCCAGCCCACGGTTCCTGGGCTTGGGACTGCTGCGTCTGGTCTTCCCAGAGGCAGACAAGGTCTCCGCCCGGGCCCCTTCAGGCTTCCAGCTGGACCTGGGCCTCGTCCATCTGCACAGTGTCGTTGTCTCCCAGGAGCTCAGTCTCTGGAACAGAGCCTTCCTCCTCCTCCTCCTCGGCCTCTAGCACGGGGCTCTGGGCCACGTCTTCTGGAACATTCTGTGTGTCCTCCGTGCCCTCCGAGAGCAGGGCCGCTCTGTCAGCCACAGATGTGTTGGAGGGGGCTGTGGTGACATACCCCGTGCTGGTGGAACCGCTACCACTGTGGTGTGAGCTGGGCTTGGGGACCATCTGTGGGGGCACCTGCTGTGGTGCCATCTGCATGGGAATCTGAACTGGATAGAAGTTGGGCAGGTAGGCGCCATAGGCAGGCACGGGCTGATAGCCATTGACAGGGATGTAGAGCTGGGGCGGGGGCACCATGGGTCTGATCTGGCCCTTCATGGGGATGAGCTGGGGCTGCGGGAAGGGCTGGGCTTTCTGCTTGGGCCCCAGGTAGCGAGCGTTGCTCACATTGCTCACGGGACTGGTGCTCAGGGAGCTGGTCTGTGTGGTGTTGCTGGCCCCAGAGGTCTGCGCCGAGCTGTGATAGCCGGAGACATTGCCCCAGGCCCGCAGCCGGCTGTGGATGTCCTTGAAACGGGGCCTCCGGCTGGGGAACTCATTCCAGCACTCAATCATGAGGGCGTACACCCAGGCCGGGCAGTCATCCGGGCAGGGCAGCACCTGCCGGTTCCGAATCATCTCCACCACGTCCTGGTTAGAGTAGCCGCAGTAAGGCTGCAGGCCGTAGCTGAAGACTTCCCACAGGACCACGCCGTAGGACCAGATATCCGAGTCAACAGAGAACTTGCCGTACATGATGGCCTCAGGGGACATCCAGCGGATGGGCAGCAGCGAGTTGCCCATCAGCTTGTAATAGTCGGCGGAGTACACCTCGCGGAAGAGGCCCAGGTCTGAGATCTTCACAGCCAGTTTGTCGTACACCAGCACGTTGCGGGTGGCCAGGTCCTTGTGCACCACGTGATGGCTGGACAGATACTCCATGCCCGCGGCGATCTGTGCCACGACGTGCACAAAGTCGGGGGGTTCCAGGGCAGACTTGACCGTGCGGTCATCGTCGGTGCTGCCCACGTCCGAGTGCGGTGAACGCATCACCAAGAACTCATGCAGGTCGCCGTGCGGGCAGTAGTTGAAGATCATGCTTAGAGGCTGCTCCTTGGTCACCACGCCCAGCAGGCACACCACATTGGGGTGCTGCAGCCGTGCCCGCAGCATGGCTTCCAGCCGGAACTCCTCCCGCAGCGGCCCCTCTGCCTTGTCCTTCAGCGTCTTGATGGCCACTGCCTGGGTCTGCTCCCCTGGGGTGGCCCCGAACAGGTGGCCCTTGTAGACCTTGCCGAAACGGTCCTCGCCCAGTTCCTCCATGAACCTCACTGTGGACAAGCTGATCTCTTTGAGCTTGGCCTGCAGAGAATGAAAAGCCAGAATGAAACCTTTGTCAACCACGACACTGGGACAAGAGCGGGGCAGTGGGAGGCACAGGGGCCACGGGTGCCATCGCTGGGACAGAATTACAGGGAACCCGCTGGCCTTGTCGCTCCTCTTGTCACATGCAGCTCTGATAAAGCTTACACAGGCACTGAGGCTGCAAGGCTGCCCCCTGTCTGGAACGTTCCAGGAGTCCCAAACAGGCTAAAAATCCAGACCCACCAGACTGTAGCCAAGATCCCTGGAGACTTCCTCCCTACGCCATGCCTGCACGCGCGTACGCACGCACACACACACACACAGCCAAGCCTGGGAGCCAGCTGTTCTTAGAGTCACCTCTGGCCTGTGGCCCTTCACTGCCTTATTGCATGAGCCTGCATCACAGACAGCTTTCTGATGTACCTGCCCCGTGGTGCCCTACCCACAACACGCTGCCTCACCCCATTTACTCATTTGTCCCCTAGCCTTCTTCCTGCTTGATTCAGTTCTCAGCCACACGCAGAGGGAGCAGCACACACCCTGGACCTCAGCCACGCCTGCTCCCCCTTGGCATGCGGGTAGGTGCTGCTCCCTTGCTGGTCAGGCCCTTCCCACAGCACACAGGCCACTCGTCCCTGGTCAAGGAGCCCAGGGAGCGAGTCTCTGTGCCCTTCCCAGGAGACCCTTGAAAGCCACATGGGAATGTGGCCTTCCACCAAGGCCCGCAAGGAGCTCAAACGCCCTTGTACAGATGCTATGCGCCTCGTCTTCTGCCATATTTCAGTGTCCCATCATAAAACCCTATTATTTGAGAATTCTCAGACCGGGGCCATCCTTCCCTCCACCTACTGTAAAGTTCTTCCCTAAAGAACTACGCAAAACATACCCAGGCTGACCGGAAACCGGCCCCAGAGAGCAAGTCCCAGGCCCTCAGACGGGAGTGTCCTCCTGCTGGGGGCAGGGATGAGCACGCCTGCCTGCCATTCACTTTGGAAGGACACCCGCCCAGGTATCTTTCAGCAGAGCCACTACAAGGCCAAGGGCAGCTGAAAAAGAATCATGTGTTTCCCAGGGAGCTGGGGGTCACAGGGCAGCAAGCGCTTCCCTAGAGCACGCCAGGCGGGGCACCTGCTTGTGTTGGTTGATGAGGGGCATCTCCATGTCCTGGCTGGGCGAGGCCATCAGCTGGCGGCGCTGTGGGGCGGACGTGGAAGCCTTCTGCTTGTTCCGGCACATACAGACCAAGAAGAAGAGGCAGGCGATGACCAAGGGGATGGTGATGCTTGGGACCAGGATGTAGAGGATGCCCATCTTGCTGCTGTCCCGGGGACCTGTGCCAGTGAGATGCAGACTCGTGAATTTTCAGAAAACACTGCCCCATTGATTCCTTCTGCCATCCTCAAGCTCTGCACCTCCCCACTCCGCACCTCTACCTCAAATCTCAAAGTGCAGGTGGGGGATCGGACACAACACGCAGCGGGACCCAGTGGTGTCCTGATCGTTAATGAACCAGGAGTGCACACCCTACTGAAGACAGGTGCAACACTACCCCAAACTGGAACATGTCGGAAGACACAGTATCCAGACAGGGATGCTGATGGTCTGACTACGAGTACTACGGGAAAATGAGTGTTCTGGGGCCAGTGCTGTGGTGCAGGGGGCTGCGCTGCTGCCATTGAAGCTGGCATTCCGTATCAAAGGCTCAGGCCTGGCTGCTCTGCTTCTGATCCACCTCCCTGCTAACATCCCTGGGAAAGGAGGGCAAGATGGCTCAAGAGCTTGGGCCCCTGCACGCATGGGGGAGCTCCTGGCTTCTGGCTTTGGATTGGCCCAGTCCTGGCTGTTCTGGCCTTTTGGTTAGTGAATCAGTGAATGGAAGATCTTTCTCTGTCATTCTGCTTTTCAAGCAGTTAAGCCTTAAAGAACGCGCTGATCTGTCTTCCCAGCTCCTGACAAGCAGGTGTGATGCAGCGGGGAGACCCAATCCCTGTCCTCGGGTAGCGAACCTTGCTACAGATTAGAAAAATTGTTCTTCCTTGTGGGACATTTCAATGTTTCCCACTACATTTCCATATAATGATAACACGTTCTTTCAAGATAATTTAAAACGTACTGGATATTAAGAAACACTGGTGCTGTAAATATTCAGTAACAGGGAGTCAGGCAGGATTCTTGAGCAGCGAGCTTCCAGCCCCGGCTCCTTTTGCTTCGAAAGAGTGAAAAGCAACGCTCTGTCTCCCTCTGCAGGATGCATGGGGAAGCGCATGAGCCATCCTGGAGAAGCAGACTACCCCTTCATCAGAGGAGTTGACCCCGGGCCTAGCCCCTGGAGGGTCACTTTCCCATGTCCCTTGGGAACCAACCACAACAGCTGTTTTCTTTTTAACCCCAGGTCCCACTCGCCCTGGTATGCTGCTGTCTGGAAGCACACAAGGAACTTCTCGGCAGCGTGCAACCTGAGCGCGCTGGCTCAAGCGTACATGGCTCTAATGGCTCCCACTGCTCCAGACCGAGTCTGCCTCCTCTATGCCCCGGGACGCCCACTCCGGTAAGAGAGCCCCGGATACAGCCACGTGCGAAACAGCGCCCCAGCAGCTTTCCCCCGAGAGGTGGATAATGCAGAGAGCCTCACAGTGGCGTCTCGGAGGCTCGAGGCATTAGGGCTGTGGCCACTGAGCGCCTGCACTCTTGTGTCAAGGTCAGGGACGCGAGCCCCAGCCATGTGTTGGCGCCATCGTCTGCTTTATGAACTGTTTTTGAAAGAAAGCACCAGTGAGACACATGCTTACTGGGGAAAAAGTAAAAGCCTGTGGTGTTACAGAGCTGTGGGCTTTGGCCGGGACCGTTCCTCGCAGCCCTTTTCTCCCAAGATGCCACGCTGGGGGCGGCTGTTGGTCCCCTGCTTTTTGCAGGTGTGTCACACTGAAGCACACGGAATAAGTGACCCTACATACACACTTAGGTTTCTTAAGAGGGGATTTTAAAGAGAATCGTGCCATCTCCATGCGACTGCTCTCGACTCGGTGGCAGGAGACATTTTGGGGTTACTCAGGGCAGAGTGACGTGGGCGTCCTTACGCAGCTGCACACCACTGCTCCCCAGGGACCTGGGTCTGCTCCCATCTCCCACCCGACCCCACGGGTGACCGGGCAGTCATCAACCTTGCTTTTCGGGTCCTTTACATGCAGACATCTGGGCAGCAAAGGGTCCCAGGAATTGCCAGATCAAGGTGAAACATCAAGGTGTGCCTTGGCCGGGCTGTTAGGACATAAGCAAACACACTGCACATGGTCCAAATGCCTTCTACTTTAACCTCTGGAAGTCAGTGTGGGAAGTTCGAGGTGCTTTTGCTTTCTGAAATTTGGCCCTGGAGACGAGTGAGGCACCTGTGCGGCTCGCTCACATGATGCAGCTCATCTTATTCCTTCTCTTGAAAGACGAGCAAAACACCAAGGATGTGCCTCCAACACGGCTCTGGCTCCATGAGCCCCGCCCTGCCCCATCTCGCTCCTTGCAGAAGATGATTCTCCAGGCCTGCGGTACGCCACAGTGGCTGGATGACCATCTCATCCCTGCCATTTTTATCCTTAAAATTGATCCTAGCAAAGCATACGCGTCCCGGCAGGCCTGGGGACAAGGACTGAGCTGCAGGCAATGCTACATCTGGAGCTGCAGGGGGATGACACAGGCCAGCTGAAGTGCCCCTGTAGGGAGGGAGAAGGCAGGCGGGCAGGGGGACTGCAAAGCCCTGGGAAGAGGAGTCAGGTGCATAGGAAGCTGTGCCTGCCCCACCTGCTCTGGCCTGACCCCACTGCCACCCACCGCCTCCGCTCTCAGCCCAGCCGTGGGCATCTGCTGACAGTAGCTGGTGAGCCGCCCGGGACATAGCTGCCATCTTCTCAGCATCCCCTCCACTCCCTGGCACCTGTGACGTGGCAGGGCACTTGGGAGGAATGGGCGAAGGCTGCAGCATATGTTCTCCTCACTCCACCAAGCCTGGGGGTGGGCAGTGAGATGTGTGGTGAAGCTCCAAGGACCGTGCTTCACCAACACTGGGCAACCCTGGGCGATGTTCAAGGAAGAATAAAGTGCCAACTGGACAGCCCAGGGCACAGGCAGAGGATCAAAACACAAACCGCAGTCACCGTGGGGTGGCAAGTCAGTACCCACATAATGACACACACCTCTGAGGACCAGACATGGCTATATCTAAAACAAGCAACCAGCATGGAGATGGGATGGCCAAAGTCCTGCTCCTCGCTGCACCTGGATGTGCCTGGAGCCCCAGTCCCAGTTCGCCTGCCAGGACAGGACATTTGCATCACAAATACACACAACACTCAATGCTTAAAAAAAAGAGAGAGAGAATACATACTACACGAGGGTACGTCACACAGTTCCATGCGTACGTTTTTATTCTGCGTAAAGCACCAGGGGCCTTCCATCTGGCCTCCGGGGTTCCGGCAGTAGGCATGGCCCCCTCCAAGCTCTGGGAAGTCGGTGCTGGACAGGTGGTGGCTGTGAGGGTGCTGCAGGGCCCAAGGCTGGCACTGGTGCCCTGACTTGGTGGTGCTGGCAGTTCCTCTGTAGTCGGCCCCTGAGCCGTTGTAACATTGATGGTCTGAGAGAAAAAGAGAGAGAGGTGTTGGGAAATCCTCCAAAACCGGGGAAAATGGCCCCGCTCGCTCTGGAGGTCCAGGACTCATCATCCTTCAACAGCTTCAGAAATGAACAAGGAAATTGCAGTGCCCACATGCACCTGAGCTCAACAATCTAGAAGGCGGTGCGACTTTGTATCACTCCGAACACAGGCAGCGCTGAGAGTCATGCCTTCATAAAAGCCCAGGATATGGGAAAGGAAGCCTGTCCCACGTGACTCCAGGGGCAGGTCCTTGGCACAGCTTGGGATGTCCAGGGCCCACCTGCCTGTGTCCGAGGCCGCTCCCTCCCATCCCGGAGCCGGGGCGGCGGACACTCACAGCGGCCCAGCCTCTCTGCAGGAATGCCGATGCGCATGCAGTTGGCAGCATCGGGGCTGTCGGGCAGCGGCAGGGCCTCGCACTTGGGCAGCTGCAGGCGCATGAGGATGAGCGGGTTGGAGCGCGCGATGGTGTACTCTTGGCGGCACAGGTCGCTCTCCAGCACCTCGCACTCGTCGCGGCACAGCTCCCGCGGTTTGGGTGCCCGGGAGCGCGCGTCGCACAGCGGGAACACAAAATGGCAGAAGGATGGGATGGCGAACTGTGAGCACTGGTCCGACAGGTGCGTGGACGTGCCGATCATGGTGAAGGCCGCTGAGGGGATGAGAAAGGCATGTGTGAGGGGTCCCTGACCCCACCCGCAGCCCCCAGTACCATACAGGGCGGCAGGAAGGAGGTGTCCTATCACCCCCACCTCACTTTAGAACATCCTGTCATTTGCCTCCACCCAAGACTGTGCCCTACGAGTCCCCGGCAGCCCTGTACCCTGCCCCCGGCCCTACCCAACTCCAAGTCCCCAGTGCCAGCTGAGCACTCTAACCTACACACAGCCCATTCTGCAGCCCAGCCCCATACCTGCATCCTATCCTTGCCACATGTCTTGCACTGCCAACTGTGGGCTCCAACACTCTCCTGGTGCATCCAACACTGCCCACACCTAACCTTTCTATTCTGAACCCCCACATCCGGATGCCCCATTCACATCCATACATCCAGCACCCACAATCTCCAAATTCTCTTCTTCCTTCCCCCCTTTCCCTGAACCCCGGCTCCTTTGCCAGCTGTCCTCAAACTGCCCTGGAGAAAGTCCGCTGGAGAGGTCCTAGGGTGCCCACCCACCAGCTGCCTTGATCTCAGCCGACTCCGGAAACTCCTGGGTTTGTGGATTCCCTTGCACGCAACAGAAGCAGATCAAGCCCTCAGCTGCCCCCAGAACAGGAAGATTCCTATGTCTCCTGCCAGCTTCCCTTCCTACGGATGAGCTCTGAGTTGGTTCTGCCAGCAAGCAGGTGTGCAGTGTCTCGAGCCAACGTCCAGAAGGAAAGCAGGACCAGGGCAGTCCCGTGGCTCAGCCCAGGCGTGTGCGGGGGCACAGGCAAGGGGGCCACGCAGGGCAGGAGAATGGGCCACTGAGACGCTCAGCCTGACAGGTGGCTAGAAGGAAGTGGGAGACAGGGCGGGTTCTCAACTGGTCATGCATCATGGAGCAGAGGGAGGAGGAGAAGGGCGAGAGTGCTGTGATGGAGAGCCGTGGCAGGAGAAGCTGCTACAGCCAGTGGTCAGTTTGCTTCTTAAGGTCAGAGGCTAGAGGATGGAGAGGGCTGCCAACACCCCAGCTGGCAGGAAGGAGGGGCGCAAGAACAGGCTGGGCCACTGCATAGGACAAGGAGGGCACTGGCCGTCTATGTGCCCACTCTCCCACTTTTGCTGGTCAGAGACCTCTGCCTGCTCACCATGCCCAAGCGTATCCTCCAACAGAGGCAAAGATCTGAGATTTTCATCCTAGGCCTGCAGTTTTAAAGTCTTCACTTGCTGGGTTAGGACTGGCCGGCAGGTGGCGCTGCTGGCGCCCTTTTCTTCCTGGGAAACACCCAGGTCAGCTGCCCTGTCCTGCCCTGAACTTCGCTATATTCAGTTATGTGATTGTTTCTGGCCTCCTCTCTGATCTGTCCAGTGATGTGCTGAGATGTTACACCTGGAGTCCTCACAGAACCTATCAAACAGCCCAGAATGTCAAATGGCTGCAGTGGCTGGGTGCAGGGGGGCGCTGCACCGCCTGTGTTCTGGCACCATCTTCACGTTGACTTCACTGCTCTGGTTCCATTTGTCAATGTCAAGATTGAGGAACAGAGAAGGTACGGCAGCAATGGTAAGGCAGGGCATCACCTAGGTCGCCCAAGACCCCAGGTGGGGAAAGGCAGACCGGTCCTTCTTCCTACACCTGTGCTCCTTGATGGCTGAACTGGTCAGAACTGGACCAGGACAAGGTTTAGGAGCCAGGAACATCTTCTGGGTCTCCCAGGTAAATGACAGGCACCGTATACGTGGCCACCTTCCAGTGCCTCTCCCAGGCCATGATCAGGGAGCTGAAGTGAAAGTGGAGCAGCCAGGAATTGACTCAGCATCCATTTGGGATATTGGTGCTACTGGCAGTGGCTTTACCAGCTACGCCAAAACACTGACTCGTAGGTTCTTTGATGAAGCAAGCAGCGTCTGCAAGAAGGGTGAGCGGTGCTCCCCTAACTCACTTCCATCCTGCAGGGTGTAGATGCAGGCAGAGCAGCGCTTCCCTTCCATGCTGGGAAACAGAACTGTTTCCCATTTAGGGCTGTTTGTTTTTAAATTTTTGCATAGATGTAACGAGATACCTTGGGGTTGGGGCCCAAGTCTAAACATGAAATGCGTGCATGTTTTATGTATAGCCTACACACACAGCCTGAAAGTAATTTCACGCCATATTTTAAACCATTTTGTGCATGAAACAAAGTCTGCATGCGCTGAACCCTCAGAGGTCAGGTGTGGAATTTTTCCATGTGGCGTCACGTCCACACTTAAGAAGCTTCAGATTTTGGTGGCTTGCGGACCTTGGAAAGTCGCATTAGGGAGGCTAGGCCTGCATTAGGCAAGGAGGTATGATGCACCTTGCACACATGTCACTGCATTTTGCAGTCAGAAAGCTTTGGCAAGTACGGCTTCCAATGGCACAGAAAGCCTTTATCCAGTGAGACGTACTAACATTTTCAAAAAGAAAAGTGCCCGTTAGACCAGGATGGGGCCTTTGGTTCCTGTGTATCTCACTTGCGCCTTTCCAGTTCACTCTGGCCCTGTGCCCTGGCCACAGGGGCTTGTGCACCAGCCCAGGCGAGGCAGGCCAACCATAACTGTGTCTGCATTCTTTATATGCTGGAACGACCAGGATTGAGACACACAGTGAGTTCCTGCCCTGTGCCCTCATCTCTCCCTTAACAGGGCTGGCTTTGCTCCACCTCTCCCACGGGACAACACAGCAAGTCCTGACATCAGAGACCAGTGGTGATTCTAGTGGACTGCAAAGGCCACGAACTCCCGGGACAGTCCCATCAGACTTGTGGGGTCATGTGTGTGTGTATGTCTATGGGAAGGCAGAACTATAAGAAGGAAGGCTTTGCAAGACTGTCCATATGCATATTCTTCCTTCTTTAGGGCAACTCCAGCAGAAGTGATGGGTTACAGCTGTTGGCTCGCATGTCCTAAAAAAGCCGAGGATGAGCGCCAACTACCCACATGGGTTTGTGTCCCCAGTGACCTGCCCCATTTCTCAGACCCCGCCAGGGGCACCTGGAGATGTGACTCTGTTGTCTGGAAACTGAGGACTGACACGGTCATGTTCTTGGCAGCGTCTTCTCCACCAATGGAGAAGTGGCTTCTCCAGAAAGTCACTCCCCCAAAGAGCTACCAGTAGGCCTCTCAACTTTAGCACGTGACATGGCCCAGAGTGAGGAGGGGCGGAACGCAAGAGAAGTCAGGTACAGGAAGCATGGCTGGCCTAGGACAGGAGGCCCAGTGATGCAGTAAGGAACATGGCTGCTATGGTCAAATGGAGAATGTAGCCTGCATTTCTCAATTTAAACACATGAGCTGTGGGCACTTGAGGGCACACGGGACGGCAATGAGAACTGCCTGTGGAAAGCAGTCCCTCTCTATGACAAGAGGGCTCGAGGACACACTTGCTGGGCACTAACTGATGAACACACAGATGTATCGACAAGTGTCTGCTCGTGTGCATCCCGTCCCACAGAAGGGCCCGTCTCTTACCTGTGATTCGGTTTTCAATCTCTCCTTGCATCTGCAGAGAGTCCACATAGATGGTCCTGTTCCCGATGAAGCGTGCACAGGCGATGCCCCGGTAAGGCTGGCAGAAGCCGTCCTCGTGGTAGTCATCCCTGGAGACAAACATAGCCTGTGAGTACACTGGGCCATGGCCAAGAGCTCTTCTAAACCCGCCAACCCTAACTACCAACAGGAGCCGAAAATCTGAAATCCATCCAAAATCGTGCATACAGACGTTTGCAGTAGTGCTGACAAAACCATCACTGACAAACCTGCGGGAACTGCCCTATCCCTCCATGGGTCCACGCATAAGCCTTGGTGTAGCCCTGGTGTGCAGCCCTCAATAGAAATGCGACAGTGTGTGACAAGAAGAGATGGGTGAGACTCAGACGCACTGCCAAGTGAAGAACACCAGGCTGAAAGGGGACCAGCTGCATGAGGCTGACTCTGGACACAGGAAATGCATCAACAGGTGCAGGAATCCGGGGAGGGACAGGTCCGACCCAGAGCGTTGTTGGGGCAGTGACGGTGCCTTCCGTGACAACGAGGTGGTGGGTGCACGTGATCACACGTGGATCCAAACCCACAGATCCTAATGGAAATCACTAGCTATGTGTGAGAGGCTTGCCAACTGCACCCAAGATGGGGCATGTGGAACAGGGAGGGCTGGGAAGCAGGGCATGAGAGCTGCCTGTGCCTTCCCTTCAGAGTCTGGCAATCTGAAAGGAAAGTCTATTATTTTTTTTAAATACAACTTGTATTTTGAGGGGAGTATGGGTTAGGCCCAAGGGTGGCCAGCTGACATGCACATGCAGACACGGAACTTGTGTCACGCACAAGACGCAGACGTCAAACCCTGAACACTCCAGTCTGGCCCCGAGCTACCCGGATGCCTTAGAGTGCCCCTCTGCCAACTGTCCCTGTTGCTAACCAAGGCTTTCAGGCAAGCCATGACCAGCCAGATGGTGTGCTCCATTATGAACACACAGGAGAGAAATCTGAGGAGAAAAGCAACAGGTACAGTGGCCTCAAAGGCACTGCAGGCACACGCGACGACCCAGAGCCCTCGCAGAATCTGCAAGCGCGGAAACATGATTATACACATGACATATGATCTCACGGCTGCTGTGCGGACAGCCAGAGCCGTCTGCCTTCCAGCCCCGAGAGGGAGGCCCCAGGTGGCAGAGTGCTCTCTCCTTGGCCTGCAGTCCAACTTTCCCAGTCCAGCAAGGACAGTCTGCAGAAGTGAAGGGGACTCAGTCCTCCACCACCTCCCTGGGTCAGAGGCCATGCCAGCTTCTTTTCTGCACAATCTATGAAATCCACCTTGCGAGAACCCCAGTGCATTTGAATGTGGCCCTCAGGGTCCTGCAAGTGCAGTCAAGGCGGCTTGCTGTTTGGGGATGCCCAAATCCTGGGCAGAATTCGGTAGCTCATTTTCTAGCAATTCTGCAACTGAGTCAATAAGCCTGAGAACACGTATCTTCCTCCCTGTGTGAATTCAAACCATTCCTAGATGAGACCTGCATTGTGCTCAAGTTACCTAATGGGATTTGATCCCTCTTGGGTCTCAGAAAGACTGGGGCTGGACAATGGCAGGAGTTGGCAGCAGATACAAGCTCCCTCCTGCAGCCACCTCTGGCTGCACCCTCCCCCTCCATAATCCAAAGAAGGAAACTCGGGTGTCACCAGGAGTGGGATGCCCTTCTCTCATCCTCAGTAGCCATCCTTCCTTCGTGTCAAGAGCTCCTTAAACGCAGTCTAGACAGGTCAGTACCTGTGCTCACAATGGCGACCCCAGCCCATCCCCTCTATCATCTTGCTACATTTGGATTCACAGAACAACCCTCAGCATGCAGCTGGGTTGACATCAGTTATGTCAGAGCAGGCTAGTCGGTTCGGTCCCTTAGGGACCCATAAGAATAACCTCTCCAGCAGAGTCAAGGGCGGAAAGGCTGGACCCTGACTGTGAGCCTCGGGTACACACAGGGTGGAGTGGAGGAGACCACAGAGGAGCAGGAAGGGGAGTAGGGAAGCACCGCGCCTCCTGCAGGTGCATTTGTGTCTCTGGGTCTCCAGCTTCTTCTGAATTTTGACAAAACAACTGGGAATTACCTCTGAAAATCAAGCAAAGTTGAGGTTTTTTTTTTTTCCCCTTTAACTGGCAGATTCTGAAACATCCGAAGAGTCCCAGAGCTGGAGAACATCTGTGAAATGAGTCACTGGGAGAGCCAAGGAAGAGGCCAAGACAGAATCTGGCATCTACAAAAAAGCCTTCAGCCACACAAGCGAAACGGACCGACTCCCACATGGTCATCATCAACATCATGGAAATTCAACTCGAGCCTCTTCTGCCCTCCGAGTGCTGCAGGCACAGGTCCGGGGTCTCACCCACACCGAGAAGTTACTGTCCAGGAGCGGAGAGAGGGGACTATGATACTGAGTTAAAGAAAGCACCTAGAAGAGACTGGAAGATGGGGAGGAATCAGAGGAAGGACCCCTCCCTGCGGTGACGGTGCCCCTCCCATGGGGCTGAGAAGACGGCGTGCAGGCCCACAGCCCTCTCCGACAGGGACACGAGGATCACACGGTACGAAACCAGGGAGGAATCCGTGGGCACACACGATGCAAAACAAGGGTTTTCATGCAGCTGAAAAATCACCTGTGGCAGAATTCAAATCCAGATAAGGACTGTGTCTTTAGTTAGCCTTTTCCCCCATTTACTTTTGTTAAAAAGTAGCGAAACTATTTCCCAAACTATTATTTTGTTTTAAAGATTTATTTTTATTAGAAAGACACACAGAGGGGGAGAGACAGAGAGGAAGATCTTCCACCTGATGATTCACTTCTCAAGCAGCCAAAATGGCCGGAGCTGTGCCGATCTGAAGCCAGGAACCTGGAGCCTGTTCCAGGTCTCCCACATGGATGGCAGGGTCCCAAGTCCTTGGGCCGTGCTGGATTGCTTTCCCAGGCCACGAGCAGGGAGCTGCATGGGAAGTGGGGCTGCCAGGATTAGAACCGGTGCCCATACGGGATCCTGGCTCGTGCAAGGCAAGGACTTTAGCTGCTAGGCTACCATGCCAGGCCCTCTCTAACTATTCTTAGCAGGGGAAGGCCTGCCTGTCATAAATGGGCTGGTGGCTTGAGTGAAGCAGTGGGAACTAAATCTTCACTTGGCAGGAGCCAGAGCAAGAGGACCAAGAACAAATCAGGCACGTCTTCACCCAGCCAAAAACTAAGCTACTAGAAACTAGAGGTGCTCTGATAGAGGGGTTTAACATGCTGCCCTTACAAACCTCAGCACACGAGCCACAATGTCCAGGATATAATAAAAAATTACCAGACAGGCAAAGAAGCAGGAAACTACAGCGTGCAACCCAGGTGTTTACGCAGCAGGCCAGGAGTGGCAAAGATGGAGTAAACAAGACATGGTGACAGTGAAGCGAAGACTCGGGGTAGGAGGCCTGCAGGAGAGCTTGGAACACTGAACTAAGAACAACTGGAAAGGCAGGACGAAACACCCATGAAATGGTATTGACAGCAGATTGGATGAACGGGGGTTGGAGGGGAGAATGTGTGAATCTGAAGACTGGTCAAGAGAACATTTCCAAGAAGCAGTGAAGGCAGATTAAAAAATAATAATAATTGAAACTTGAGTGATCAGGGAGTCTCGGTTTCCCGGAATCGAGATTAGAGCGAGAGAGATCCAAGAAAATGCCTGAAGAAATAATGACCATTCCATTTGCAAATAAGGTTAAGACAACAGTAACACAATGAGTAAGGAATGTTAGCGAATTAAAAAAAAAGGGACATGACAAATACAACAGCAGCCGCGCCTACTCACACCGTAGTCAACCTGCTGGAAACAGACATGCAGAAAAGATGCAAGGTAAGAAGGAATACGGCTTCCTGTCAGAATCAAGGCATAACCCAAGAACAAAATGACAGCTCCACGCCGCCAGAGAAAACTGCCAACTGGTCAAACGAAAAGGCCATGTTAAATATAAAGTCTTGGTTGAGAGGAACTAAGACACGGTTAGATGGAAGGAAGTGGTCCTGGTGCTCCCCAGGGCTCACAGCCCATTGCTAGCTCATGAAGAACTAGGAGAGAGGTGCTCCAAGACTCCAAATGCAATTACAAGCAGAACGGCGCAATGCTTGGTCCTCTGATTTGATCAGCAAACACTGTGTACATTTATCGAAATACCACACCAAACCTCATAACCGTACATTGTTAACAATATGTTAATAGTTAAGGAGATGCCAACTAACCCAGTTTAATCATTACACATTTTATATACATATCGAATTCTCACACTGTGCCCCCATTACATATACAAAAAAAAGGCAATCTGTTAAAATGCACTTAATATCACGGCCTCAAAACTAGGTGGACAAAAATGCACAGAGAATGGAATAAAAAATTCCACAATTCTAATTGGAAATTTTAAAATATCTGTCCGCAAGCAATCAAGGGAAGCATGCAAGAGAAGTTAGCAAAGCAAGAGGAGGACAGACACCCACCAGCCACCACTCTGACCTCACGGGCACCTGCAAAACAACACCGCCAACAAAGGCAGGACACACATCCTCTCAGTGCCCGTGGGATGCTCTGCCCATGGGATGCTCATCAGAATGGGCACAACACATGAAAATAACTGGAACCATACATCTCTAACCCCATGACACTAGCTTAGAAATCTACAGGGCCAGTCTTGTGGTTCAGTGGGTTAACCTGCTTATTGCAGGGACAGCATCCCATCGCAGAGTGTTGGTTCAAGTCCTGGACACTCCACTGCGGAGCAAGCTCCCTGCTAATGGCCCGAGGAGTCGGGTCTTTGCCATCGATGTGGGAGACCTGGACAGGGCCCCTGCTCCTTGCTTCAACATGAGCCAGACTGGGCTGTATGAACGTGTGGAGCGACACTATTTCTCTGCCTCCCTCCTCTCTCTCTCTATTCATCATGCCTTTCAAATATATTATTCTTCTTTTCAAAAAGGAAATCCATAACAAAAGGATATTTAGAAACTGGTCAACTATTTAGAATTAGGTAACATCCATTTGAATAACCTACAAGTTCAAGAAGAAAATGTAAAATATAATTACACGGTA